GGTTAGGGGGGATATACCTTCGCTAACGCGTAGTGTGTCTCGTGAACGCGAAGGTTAATATACTGCTGCTTCACGAACGCGACAGGCTTCTCGCGAATGCGAAGAAGACCTGTCCAGTGATTTTAAAACAGAACCTAAGTCGGGATTTGCTCAAAATTTCATATTTTCTTCCATAGAACTCGACCTTGGGCGATTTTTGAAGAGAGATTTCAACACCAAATCATAGGTTTGTGTTCTTAAACTCATTTCTTTCATTTGTCATCAACACCCATTAGATTTCTAGGCCTAAATCTTGTTCTTTAAGGGTAGAAATTAGGGATTTCGAGAGAATTGGGAATTTTACAGATTTTTGAATTTAGACCTCGATTTGGGGTCGGATTCCGAAACTAATTATATATTTGGGCTCGTGGGTGAATGGGTAATCGGGTTTTGATTCGAACCTTTGGCTTTGACCAAGCGGGCCCAGGATCGAATTTTTGACTTTTCGGGGAATTGTTGGGAAATCTGTAATTGTGCATTCGAATTGGTTCTTTGGCTTTAATTGATGTTAATAAGTTAATTATGAATATATTCGGGCGGATTGGAAGTGGAAACAAAGGGAAAAGCGGTATTTGAGGCTTGAGTTTTGCCGTGGAATCGAGGTAAGTGTTGTGGCTAACCTTAGCTTGAGGGATTAGGTGTTGTTGCCTTATTTGCTACATGTTTATTTGTTAAGTACGACGTATAGGTGAGGTGATGAGTATCTATACGTTGTTGTCGGGTCATAGCATGTGAGTGAGTCTTATACTTGTGACCATTGTGTTTCTTTATTCGTACTATTCTTGCTTAAACTGGTTATCATTCATGTTAACAAGTTTTATTATGTTTGTTCTGGATTTGGATATTGGTTGAGTATTGGCTCGAGTTGAGATTCATGTTGTGAAGTTAATTGATGAAGCAAGGTTGTTTAATTATGATGCAATTGCTGGGTTGTTATTGTTTCTGTTGTTTGCTTATGTGGTGCGCAAGAGTGATAAAGCACGAAGGGTGATGCCGTGCACATTTTTATTGTTCATATGGTGAGGTTGAGTGTTAAAGCACGAAGGGTGATGTCGTTCACGTATCCATTATTGATTATCTGGTGAGGCTGAGTGGTAAAGCACGAAGGGTGATGCCGTGCACGTTTCTATTATTGATTACCTGTGAGGTTGAGAGTAAAAGCACGAAGGGTGATGCCGTGCATTATTTTCTGTTGTTGTGTCTATTTGTTATTATCGTTTCAAGGTGTTTTAGCTGTTAAATTCCTTTTACTGCTATGATTCTTTATTTTGGTATCCCCATAGCATGTTTCCCCTTCCCGTTAATTTCTGCTTAGCTTTTATTAACTGTTATTCTGTTAGTATACTGTTTAACTGCACAGGATTATATTATTGTCGTGTCCTAGCCTCGTCACTACTTCGCCGAGGTTAGGCTCGCACTTACCAGTACATGGGGTCGGTTGTACTGATACTACACTCTGCACTTTCTGTGCAAATTTCGGTACCGGACCTCGTGAGTAGAGTTTGGGTTGCTGCCTTTAGTCCAGAGGAGACCCAAGGTAGATCTGCCGGCGTTTCGCAGACCCTGGAGCCCCCTTCCTTCTGTCTTAGATTTCCTGTCTCTTTTCATTTCGAGAACAGATGTATTTCTTTTAAGCCAGTACTTGTAGATATTCTTAGACGTTCGTGGATTGTGAAACCAGATCATTGGGGTAGTTGTGTATTAGAGTTTTGAACTGTTGTAAAACTTCCGCACTTTATATCTATTTAGCTTCAAAATTATTATTTATCAATGCTTGGTTATTGATTAATGTGTTAGAGCCGAAACTGTTGGCTTGCCTAGCATTCAAGAGTTAGGCGCCATCACGATCCCGGCAGTAGGAAATCCGGGTCGTGACACCGCGTCTAGCGCGAAGGCGGATGCGAATTCCAGCTTTCCCTAGCCGAAGTGGGATTGGAGAATTTCGCCCTTTAGCAACCCTAAGTGATATAAATACATAAAAAAAATAACTTTTGGAGGTAACACAATATTTTGAGAGGCAAGAACACATAATGAACAAGACGGAGAATCCTCTACGAGTTTTTCATCTTTTTCTTCTTAATTCCATTGTTCGTTATGGCTTTTTACATTGTAATCTTGTTTAGTAGTATGAGTAGCAAAACCCGTAATCTAGGGTTGATAGAACCAATTGTTGGATGAAGTCTTGATTACGTTTTGATATAATTGAGCCATTTTTACTCTATAATTGTTCAACTATGTATTTTCTTGTGATTAATTGAAAGGGCCCTTGATTAATCATGTCTAGTTATCTTGTGTTGCTTGAGAAAGAACACTTGGTTAGATTGTTGTTGAACAACACCACTTTCGGGTAAGTTAAGAGATTAATTACTTGAATTTAAAAGCAGGGTTAGAGATAACGAAGCTTTGGTGGGATAATTCTGAGTTGCATAAATTGTTAACTAGAGTAGTTCGAGAGAATGCTTAACGTAATTGATCGAGAGATAATTGCGGTAACCCAGAACTCATATTTCTTATAGAGTGTTACGGCGTGATTATATCTAACGTGTCATAAATTAATCTGACAATTGAGGAAACCAATAACCCTAGACCATTTTACCATTGAATTCAACTCTATTCTTGATTATTGCTGGTTTTATTATTATTTTTCCTTAGTTAACTAAATTCTACTCATTATCCATTAAAAAATCTTGCATCGGGGGATTGTTTGAGCTATTCATTAGCAGTGCTAAAAGTTGTAGTAAATAGGTTAGTTCCCTGTGGGATTCGACTCCAGACTGAACCAGATTATATATTTACAACGACCGCTTAGTCCTTTTTATAAGGCATAGTTGGGCGTGATCAAATTTTGGCATCGTGGCTGGGGAACTAACTGTGTTATTTATTGCAACTTGGAAGAATTGCTAGGATTATTAGTTTAGATCAATTTTCTGTGGTGTTAAAAATATTTCCATTGAAATTCTCACGTTTGAACTCTTCTATGACTCAGGTGCATGCCTAGAAGCTCTTTGAGAACTGGTGAACTCTTTGAAGGACTCTCAGATCCCGAGAAAGCATTCAGGACATTGAACAGGGCAAACAAGAAGAGCAAACAGCTAGAACAAAAAGAACAAATTGAAACTGAAATGGGTGACGTAGACAACAGGAATGATCGAGATGAACCAAACGTCAGAGTGGTAGCACCTCTTGTGCCGGAGGCTGCTCTCTATGATTGGGCTCAACCAACTGCTGATAACCTGGCCACAGCAATTGCAGTTCCTCAGATACAAGCGGAGACATTCCAGATTACCAACAACATGGTGCACCTGTTGCAGAATAAAGGGCTGTTCTCCGGTTCATACATCGAAGACCCACAACAACATCTGAAGAACTTTCTATCGATATGTGTCACTCAAAGACAGCCGAATGTGACTCCTGAGGCAATCAAATTATTACTGTTTCCATTCTCGGTGACTGGGGAGGCTCAAACTTGGCTGAATTCGCTCCCAATAAACTCCATTGCTACTTGGGAGGAACTAGTCAAGCAGTTCTTGAACAAGTTTTATCCACCCAACAAAACTGCGCAGATTGATGAGATATTGCAATTCAGGCAGAAACCGACTGAGACTTTGCAAGAAACCTGGGAGAGGTTTAAGGGTATGTTCGTGAAGTGTCCTCACCATGGCATTCCGGATCAGATGCTGGGACAGAGATTCTATATGGGTTCGGCTGACAGTCTGAAGGCCAATGTAGATGCTTCTGCCGGGGGTGCATTCTTGAGCAAAACCTTCATAGAGTGTAAGATTCTTCTTGACAACATGTCTCAAAATTAAGGCTGGATGACGAGAGACACAACACTCACTCCAATAGTGCATTCTGTCGCTCCTAACCCGAACAACACAAATGCAGAAAACATAGCCACTCTTATGACCCAAGTGAGCTTGCTGACAAACAAAATCGATGAGATGGGTACGAAACATGTGCACATTGTTGATACTACAAATGGAGGCTTATGCATCCCGTGCATAAACCAGTCATATGTGTGCTCATGGAGTGGAGAGAATGACAACCAGGGTTTCAGAGAAGACATGAATTATGTCAATAATTTTGAAGGTCAGAGGCAGGGTGGACAACAATGGGGACCAACATCAAACCAGCAGTACAGACCAAACCAGCCACAGCACAACCCCAATCCAGGAGGAGCACGACCACAAGGCCAAGTCGTGCCTTATCAGAGGCAGCAGGGCTATAATTAGCAACACCAGCAACAGTTGGCCTACCAACCACCTCATCAACAGTAGGATAGTAACATGATCGAAATCAGGGGTATGCTGCAACAACTCATTGGGACAAATGGAAAGATGCAAGAGAAGTTAGATGCACATGATTCAGCAATCAAAGGCATTGAAACTCAATTGGGACAGCTATCTATGGCCTTGAACAATCGCCCACAAGGAACATTGCCTGCAGATACAAACATTAATCCAAAGGAGCAGAACCCAAATCAGCTCATGGCAGAGAGTCTCAGGAATGGAAGAGATTTAGACAGGGAGCAAGAAGTTGCTCAATTTAGGAGAGAGACAACGCCAACTACTCCAGCTAACCCAGTTACACTAGAGACAGATGAGTTAGCAGAGCTTACCGAGGTTGTAATCGAGCAAGCATAGGTTGACAAGGGTAAGGAGAAGGAAGGTGAACAACTCCCAGAACAGGCAGTAGAAAAATCTTGCAGCAAAGAAAAGACACAAAGTAGTGGGCAGAGGTTGATTCTTGCACCATTCCCTCAGAGGTTGGCAAAGCAAAAGAAAGATGATCAATACAGGAAATTCATGGAAATGCTCAGACAAATTCAATTGAATATTCCACTGATGGATGCTTTCAGGGAAATGCCAGGGTATGCAAAAATGATGAAGGACCTGATGTCGCAAAAATTTGACTTCCAGGACCTATCCACTGTAACTCTGACGTAGACCTGCAGCGCGGTAATGACAAGGCCTATGGCTCAAAAGGTGTCTGATCCAGGTAGTTTCACTATCCCATGCACCATTGGGAGTTATGCTTTTGCTAAAGAATTGTGTGACTTGGGAGCCAGCATAAACTTGATGCCCTTGGCAATCTATACAAAATTGGGCATTAGCAGAGCTAGAGCGACCTCAATGTTGCTGCAACTGGCTGATCGCACAGTCAAACAACCGATAGGAATTCTTGATGATGTGCTTGTTGAAGTGGGGAAATTTATATTCCCTGCAGACTTCGTCATTCTTGACTGTCAAGTGGATGAAGAGATACCAATCATTCTGGGCATGCCGTTTTTAGCCATTGGTAGAGCATTGATTGATTGTGAGATTGGAGAATTGAAAATAAGGTTGAACAATGAAGAGATAATATTCAATGTTTAACAATCTATGAGGAGACCCAACGAATATGCAAATTGTTCACTAGTGGAGGCCGTAGATGTAATACTACAAGAGGAGGATGAGACTATTAATGTCAGGGATCCGTTGGAAGCCTGCCTAATGAACCTGGAAAATGTGGACGGTGAGGAGTTGGCAGAGTGGGTCATGGCTCTTGAAGGTCAAGGGTTCTGGAAAAGGGAACCCGAGTTTGAGCCCCTACAGTTAGAAGAAAGAACAACACCACCTACGAAACCATCGATAGAGGCCACCATAGTTGGACCTGAAACCATTTCCAGCGCATCTCAGGTACGCTTTCTTAGGGCCTAATTCTACTTTACCTGTTATTATATCATCCAGTTTGCTAGCTGTGCAGGTAGAGCAACTCCTACAGGTGTTACAAGAATGTAAGACTGCTATCGCTTGGACTATGCCAGACATAAAGGGTATTAGCCCAGCTTTTTGTATGCACAAGATTCTCTTGGAAGAAGGGCACAAACCTTCCAGAGAACATCAACGAAGGCTGAACCCGAATATGAAAGAGGTGGTGAAGAAGGAAGTGATCAAATGGTTAGATGCGGGTATCATCTTCCCCATCTCTGACAGCCATTAAGTCAGCCCTATTTAGTGTGTGCCGAAGAAGGGAGGAATGACGGTCGTACAAAATGAGAAAAACGAGTTGATCTCGACTCGTACTGTCACAGGATGGCGGATTTGCATGGATTATCGGAAATTGAACACAGCCACCCGGAAGGACCATTTTCCCTTGCCATTCATTGACCAAATACTGGACAGGTTGGCTGGGCGATCTCACTTCTGTTTCTTGGATGGATATTCGGGGTACATTCAGATCTCAATAGCCCCCGAAAACAGGGAGAAAACATCATTCACCTGTCCGTATGGCATCTTTGCCTTCCGGAGAATGCCTTTTGGACTTTGCAATGCACCGGCTACATTTCAGTGGTGTATGTTAGCAATTTCCACGGATATGGTTGAAGACATTATGGAGGTGTTTATGGATGATTTCTCCGTGGTGGGGGATTCATTCGAAGATTGTCTTCACCACCTAAGAAGAGTGCTCAAGAGATGTGTGGAGACAAATCTGGTGCTGAATTGGGAGAAGTGTCATTTTATGGTATAAGAAGGAATAGTGTTGGGACATCGAGTGTCCAAAAAGGGAATTGAAGTCGACCATGCCAAGGTTGATGTGATTGATAAGCTGCCGTCACCCACTTCGGTAAAGGCAGTGAGAAGTTTCCTTGGGCACGCCGGGTTCTATAGGCGGTTCATTAAGGATTTTTCCAGATTACTTACCGCTTATGTAAGCTTCTTGAAAAAGACCAGCCCTTTGTGTTTTCTGATGATTACAGGTTGGCCTTTGAGGAGCTAAAGAAGAGATTGGTGACTGCACCCATCATTGTTGCACCCAGCAAGGAGCAACCATTCGAGCTCATGTGCAACTCCAATGATTATGCTATAGGAGCAGTCTTAGGGAAACGCAAAGATAAGATGATCCACCCGATTTACTATACAAGCAGGACACTCAGCAGTGCACAGCTCAATTACACTGTAATGGAAAAGGAAATGCTGGTTGTAGTGTTTGCCTTCGACAAATTCAGGTCGTACTTAATCGGTTGAAAATTTATTGTTTGTACTGACCATGCAGCAATTAGGTACTTGATAGCAAAGAAGGAGTCAAAGCCACGCTTGATTCGCTGGGTTCTTTTGCTACAAGAATTCAATCTAGAAATCCGTGATAGAAAGGGGACGAACAATCAAGTGACGGACCACCTCTCGAGGTTGGAAGGAGCAGAAAAGAAAATGGAGGTTGAAGATATCACTGAGACATTCCCAGATGAACAGTTACTTGCACTGACAATGGAGGAGGCACCATGGTATGCTAATATTGCTAATTACTTAGCAAGCGGTATTGTACCTTATGATCTCTCCTCAATTTAAAAGAAAAAGTTCTTCGTGATTGTCGATCTTATTATTGGGATGAACCTCTACTTTTTAAGATATGTGTTGATAACATGATCCGGAGGTGTATCCCCGAGAAAGATCAACCTTATGTTTTGCACGAATGACGAGGCCTCTTGTCAGGCCCCTGACCACCTCCCTGCGATAAAACCATCTCAACGCTCCTGGCCACATTGGCCGCCTCCTGAAAGGAAATCTCACTCCCCGTCTCCTTAGCCATCTGAAGTCGAATAGGCTGAATGAGTCCCTCAATGAACCTCCTCACTCTCTCTCTCTCAGTGGGGAGTATAAGAAGAGCATGACGGGCCAAATCAATAATCCTAGTCTCATACTGAGTAACGGTCATGGAACCCTGTTGGAGACGCTCAAACTGCTTCCGATAGATCTCTCTCTGAGTGACGGGAAGAAACTTCTCCAAGAATAGCTGTGAAAACTGATCCCAAGTCAGAGCTGGTGACCCAACTGGTCTAGCCAAACAATAGAGCTGGTGACCCAACTGGTCTAGCCAAACAATAATCTCTCAACCAAGTCTTGGCGGATCCAGATAAGCGAAAAGTAGCAAAGTCGACCCCGTTGGTCTCCACTATCCCCATGTTCCTGAGAACATCGTGACAGCTGTCTAAATAATCCTGGGGATCCTCAAAAGATGCACCGCTGAAAGTGGTAGTAAAGAGCTTGGTGAACTTGTCCAATCTCCACAAGGCATCGGCAGTCATAGCTGCTCCGTCACCGGTCTGGGCTACCACACCCGGCTGAACTGCTCCAACTGGCTGAGCTGCTGGAGTTTGAAACTGGGGAGCCACCTAATCCGGAGTGCGAGTAGCAGGAGTCTGGGCTCCTCCTCCAGCCTGAGAGACGGCTGGTGCTACACGAAGCAAGCCTGCCCGGGTGACACTCTCCATAAGTCCCAATAGACGGACCAAAGCATCCTAAAGTACTAGGGTGGCAATGAACCCCTTTGGGACCTGAGCTGGGCCCACCGGAACTGCCTGGGCCAGGACCTCCTCGTCAAACTCAACTTGAGGCTCTGCCACTGGGGCTGCTGCTCCGGGCTGAGCTCTGCCCCTACCTCGACCTCTAGCACGGCCTCGGCCTCACCCTCTGCCCCTCGTGGGAGCTACTGCTGGGGGCTCGGGCTGCTAATCAGCGGATAAGGAAGCGCGTTTTCTCGGCATCTGCGAAAGACAGAGTAGAAATTCACTTAGCATTGGGAAACCAAACTGCACGACAGGAAAGAATAGATGTGAAGTTTTTTTCCTAACTATGTAGCCTCTAGGGGATAAATACAGACATCTCCGTACCGATCCCTCAGACTCTACTAAGCTTGTCTGTGAGTTGTGAGACCTATGTAACCTAGAGCTCTGATACCAACTTGTTATAGTATTTAAATGATAACTGTGAAATTTGGTGAAAAATGGAGTTTATTTGACGTGAGTTGGACTTCCGGTTGAAGAGTTATGAACTTTAAGTGTTCTTGATGAAAATGATAAGCTTTGAGGTTTAATTCATGGTTTTATATGTTATTTTGATGATGTGATCACATGAGTAGGTCCATATGATGTTTTTGAGTTAGTATGCATATTTGGTTTGGAGTCCCGAGGGTTCGGGTGAGTTTCGGATAGGTTCTGGGATGTTTTAGACTTAAAAACATAGTTGTTGCAGGTTCAGGGAAGTTGCAGATCTCTGAACGCCTGTGTGGTCCGCAATGATTTTGTGCGACCGCGGAAGGGGCCTTTGCGGCCGCAAAATATTTCTTGCGGTTCGCGGTGGGGACTTTACGGCCGCACTCGATTTTGTGCGGTCCGCGGTGAGGAAGAATCCGCAGGTTCACTGGTCTGACTTCGGAAGCCTATATCTTTTGATCTACAAGGAATTTTGAGATTATTCAAAAATGAGAGTTGTAGCCCTTCGTGTCTAGTTTCCAGGAAGGTAAAGATATCACAATTTGGACATCTGTAGAGAAAGTTATGGCCAAAATACTATAGCATATCACTGCAGTCTCCGCGGTGAGCTCCGCGGCCGCAATCCTTTTTGTGCGGTCCGCGGAGAGGGTCTTAGAGGGGTATATTTAAACGGGACTTTCAGTTATTTTTTATTTTTCAAAATCCCAAAAACGTAAGAGGTGATTTTCCAAACACACTTTCTTCTCCAAAACATTAGTAAGTGATTTCTAACTCATTTTCTTTACTCCTTAACTTCTTTTTACAAGATTTTATCCTAGAATCTAGGGTTTTCATGGTGGAATTGGGAATTTTGGGAAAAACCTAAGAATATTGAAATTTGGGGATTTAGACCTCAAATTGAGGTCGTATTCCAAAACCAATTATATATCTGGGCTCGGGGGTGAATGGGTAATCGGGTTTTGGTCCGAATTTCGGGTTTGGACCAAGCGGGCCCGGGGTCGATTTTTGACTTTCTGGGAAAAACTTTAGAAAACTTATTTCCATGCACTAGAATTTTTCCACTTAGCATTTATTGATATAATTAGGTAACTTGTGGCTAGATACGAGCGAGTTGGTGGTAGAATCAAGAGGTAAAGCGATAGTTGAGGCTTGAATTGTGTTCGTGGCATCGAGGTAAGTGTTTGGTCTAACCTTAGCTTGAGGTATTAGGAGTTGTGTCTTATTTGCTACGTGTCAACTGTGGAGTACGACGTATAGGTATGGTGACGAGTATCTATACGTTGGTGTCAAGCATGCCCGTAAGTCTTGTATTGTAATTGTTATGACTCCGTTGTGGTTTATTCGTGCTTCATATGGGGATTATATTATTGTTCGCTTGCCGGGATGTTGTTGTTATATTGTTCCCTTGCCGGGATGTTGTTGTTATATTATAGTTCCCTTGCCGAGATATTGTTGTTATATTATTGTTTCCTTGCTGAGACTCTTTTATGATTGGTGTTGAAATATGAAATGGGAGCGGGTTGCACGCCTGCAACGGTTATATATGAAATGGGAGCCGGTTGCATGCCTGCAACGGTAACATATGAAATGGGAGCAGGTTGCACGCCTGCAACGGTAATATAT